TGTGTGTGTGTGTGTGTGTGTGTATTCTTATGTTCTGGGACTAAATGTTGTTTCATTCAATTGTTTTCTTCCAATTATCTTTTTTTTTTTAAAACAAAACTGAAGCACAATGACTTTATGAACAAATGTAAATAAAAGTCCATGTATAGCCTTAACATAGCAAAGAATATAAAATGTCAAAGCCAATCATGCCCCTCATTAGCAAATTGTAAAGATAAGGGAAACATCGTGAGTCATTACTGGGACTCCCCTCCCTAAGGACGATTCAACACAGATGTTTCAGCCCAAAGATCAGACTTCAAGAAGCGGCACACTAAGCCAGCAGCTGTGCTACATACATGCGGTGTCGCCTCTTTGTTGCCAACTTTGTGCACCAGAGTTTTTTTCTCATTCATCTGACACGCGCACAAAGTCACGAAAGTCTTTTACTGTTGGGAAAACACTAAATTTTCATTTGATGTATGTAGTGCTTTATCTGATAGGTCGAGCTTTGTGTGTCTGTCAGCAGACAAAATACCATCACAACAGTCACAAACACAGCAGCTTTCACTGTGGACCCCACTCCATGTGCTGTTACATATATGTGGACCCTCTGGATATTTTTAAAGCACCTGTCAGTGTTTAAAAAAAGTCTGATGTTTTTAGTTGTTGCTGTGTAATGTTAGTACCGGGGACAAAAACAACCCGTCAATGCAACCATGTCCGTAGGTACAAACAATGATTTGCTGCTCCATACTCCCACAGTAACGTCCTGTTAACTAGTTGAGTTAAAACAATTCTAACTCTGGGGTTCTCAGCTATTAGTGACAGCTATTAGTCCTAATGTCAAACAGCTCGGTGGTTCAGCGGCACTACCCTGCACGATGAGTTAGTGTGTACTCACGTCTGGTCTCGGTGCTGGAGCCCTGCAGTCTGGTCTGCTGCTGCAGGAGACACGAAGTCCTCGCAACTGAGGAGGGACAGACAGAAAGGATCAATCACAGAGGTACTGACGAGTGAATCCGCACTGCTACACAAGAGCTGGCTAAAGGTAGCATTAGCTAGCTCGAAGGTCAAACACGGAGCATTTGACAGCTGAAGACGACACTGTATTGGTAGCACGCAAACGGACGCAGGCTAAAACGAATCACTGCAATCTACAGCCTGTATATGGATTTCTAGTTAACGTACTGTTAAAACTCCTTCCAAGACCTCCGCGGACAAACCGTACCAACGACGCCGCCATGTTGGCTCTCTCAAGTTTCCTCTTCGGGCCGAGAGCTGACTATCAGCGGCCAGTCGCCCCCTCGTGGACGGGAAGACAAATGTCACTCAATGTGCCCTGGAAAATGCACTGAAATGGAAATATTCAAACATCACATTTTAAGAGTGCCAAATGATTTCATTAAATAATTACTAATTCAATATTTTTAAATAAAATTGTAAATAATTAAATATTTAAAACTGTAATTACTGAATAAATTATTTCAATTTTTAATTAATCCATGCTACATTTAGTTATTTACAGATGTATTTAATTAATTGAGTTTGGCACTCGCGTGTAATTTTTTAGCCCCAAACCATGCAAATGCTTAAAATACCATGATTTATATAACAATGTGTCATGATACGATGCAGCACTGGCAGTCGACAAGTCAGACTACGCCGAGTGGCCTCTCAAGTCTGGATTAAAGGGGAGGGTTGTGTCAGGAAGATCATCCAGCACAAAATGGTCAGTGCTGTTAGCCAACAGCGTGTCAGTGGAAACTAATATTAAATGTTAAAGTTAAATGAACTTCCAATAAACAGCTACCCTACTAGGATGTAAAAGTTGACCGAATGTTTGTCCTCGCTACAGTTAGATTTAGGTTTTATTTTGTTTTACTTCAATTTAATTTTTCTATTTGTTTGCATGAAATAGAATCTAACAGTATTATCACTTGAACATTTTTCATGTGTGTTTGCTTCGGGGACTCCATCCTCATATTAAACCTTCTTGATAACTGTCACATTGGAACATCCTAACTTTATTTAAATATGTGCTTGCCAATATGAACAAACTACTGAAAATAAAGAAGCACCATTACTCTTTTTGTCATAAACATTTATTTATGGTCATTTTTTTACATTATGAGGCACTGCAGAAAAATATAAAGCAAATATTTTCCAGTCTACACAGAAACACCTTCATTACTGAATTATTTACTACAGTGTTCTCATCCTGTTGACTAAACTCCAGCTGACGTCAGCCGGCTCTGAGGGGAGTGTTTTCTTTTTTTAAAAACAAATGTGGAGAGCATTGCAGTGATTTGTCTTAGTTTGTTAGTTAAAACAGAATAACGTGGCTGGAAATCAAATATAAAAAGAAAATTTTCTTTCAACAAAATTATATTAAAGAGTAACAAAAACAGATAAACAACATGTTCTGTTCTGCAGCTGTACACATGCCAAAGAGCACTTGCTGAAAAGGCAACAGTTGCATTTCCTGTTACAGTTGTTTTGATCAAGGCTCTGAGTCGCCGTCCCCCACCTCCAGTGGGAACACGATGAGGTCCGACACACTGCCCCACTTTCTCAGCTGGACTGTGCACATATCTGCTGGTAGTACTTCCTCAGCATCTCCAGCTGAGCGGAGCGTACTAGGATGTGCGGTCGAACAGATGCCAGCTTCTGACAGGCCTCGTCTGGAGTCCAGCAGTGTAACTGTCAGCAGGAAAGCAAACGGTCAACACAGCAAACCTGTCGCTTGATGCCTGAGCGACTCATCAGCCATGAGCATGTTTCATACAGTCACCACTCTGGAATATTGACTTAAACACTCTGTGGTTCAGTGCATGTGGAGGTAAACAGGTCAAAAACGGAGTTAAATGTGGCATGTGTTTTATCTGAAATGACCATGAGATTATATTTACCGGTACATACAAATACTTTAAAGGTAAGTACGCTGGAATAAGAGGGTAAAAAGTCAGGGTTTTTTCAGGAAACAAAGAAATATATTACATTGTAATTTAGCAGTATGCTGTACTGTTCAGGGAGAGGGCCATATTATGAAGCGGATTAACCTCGGCCAGTTTCTGGGTATTTTACAGGAAAGGAGACACAGCTTACAGTGTAAGTAATTTTAAATACACTGTAAGTTAAAAAGAACAACTGAATAACAGAAAATCCATCATGTACACAGTGTAACAAAATAAGGATGTAAAAAGGGAAGGTTAAGTCACTCAACATTTACAGCCGTCAACACAAAAACTGCATCAAAAATATTGTTTTTCTGCAAAATTACCAGCTAATTACACACCACTTAAAACAGGCTCTGAAACTGAAACGATGTCATCTCATTGGAAGACCACTTTGTGTTCAAGTAGTAATAAAAAACGAAACAAACAAGAAAACACCCACAAATATTTCTGAAAATGTTTTGTTTTGTTTTTTAAATTTCAAATATTGTATAACGAGACAAAACTGCAAACATGAACGCAGATTGTAACAAACTGAATCCTTTCATCGAACCACCAAACGAACACACTGGTCCTCTCTGTGCACACACGTGGCAGCACTGCTGCTGTCATTGTGTTCATGTTTAACAAAATAAACTGCAGACATGAGTGTGACTCTGTCACTGAGCTAACAGCTGATCCCTCAGCATGTTTGTGCTCTCTGCTCATGCTGCCTTCATATTCAGTCATTCTCAGCTTTTTAAAGAACTTCAAAGACAAACTGCATGACATTTCTTCAAGTGGCCCCCAGGCTGCAAATATGAGACCCTGACTTAAAATAAGTTATGCAATACTCAAAATTACCTACAGTATAAATTGTGTCTCCTTTCCTCTAAAATACATGCAGGATAGGCACGTTTAGGCCACTCTGTAATATTGCCTGCTCCACAAAAAGTAACACGTACTTAGGACGTAAATACAGGGAAATATTGTTTGTTTTGCTGCTAAATTACCAGGAAATTACACAGTACTTAAAAGTACTTAAAAATACTTAAAAGTACTTAAAAGTACTTAAAAGTACTTAAAAGTGCTTAAAAGTGCTTATGCGGTGCTCAGATTTTATAGCAGTATAATTATTTGCTTCCTGTAAAAAACGGATTTGTTGCCACCTTATTCTTATTTGTTCAAAATTATCCAACATAACAAATGTAAATTTATTATTCTATTTATTATTTATTTCTTTATTTTTTATCCGCTCTTTATGCTTTATCTTGCGTTACCATGAAAAGTGGGATGTTCTTCTCTCCACTCGGTTTTTGTGCTGTCTGCAGTTCAAACAGCAGGTGGCAGTCTGAATGCATCATACTGACCCGTATGAGGTAGGCGGCAGCTAATGTGGCGCTCCGGGAACGTCCAGCCTTGCAGTGCACGTACACACTGGTTCCCTGCTCTTTATGCTGCAGTGCAAACTCCACGCCTCTGTGGAGATTCTCCATGCTGGGGACACCAGTCAGGTCCACAGTGCTAAGCCTGAGCTGCTCCACACCAGCAGCCTGCCACTCCTGCACCAGCACCGCAACAATAAATGACACAGTGTATGAGGGGCGGCTCTTTGGCACTGTTAGGGTTTGAACTTCTATCACACATCAGTATTTAACTCATCTTGCATATGCATGACAGCACAGGGTCATTTCAAATATGAGCAGGGCGATTAAACTGCACGTTAACTTTTTTTTTTTTTTGCCTGTCCCGTTTGGCTCTTTTGCCATCAGAATTGTTGTCTAAAAGGCAAACAAAGATGCCCAACGGATTTACTTTACCAAATTGACCATCCCAGCCTTGTAATGGTCCATTTGATTCACCTTTTATTGTTTATTTTATTTTCACTTACTGAATACGGGACAGACTGAACTGGGGGAAAGAAGGGGAGAAAGAAAGAGGGAAAGAGAAACAGCTGAGAAGAGGGACGGGGGAGAAGGGCAAAGGACAAAAACTAACAGAACGGGCAGAGAAAAAAAATGCATATATCAATCACCTGGGTCACCTGCTGAGAAAGAAAAAAGAAAACAAGCAGAAGAGAACAAGAGTAATAGAATAAACAACATCACAATGATATATGGGAATATGACAGTAAATACT